CTGCACGGCTGGCGAAAGAAAATCACGTGGCCATCCCAACAAACCGGCGCAAATGAAAACAGTTGAAGACTCGAAGCAAAAGCGACTTGAGACATCCTCCACACCTGCTTCCAACAATCACTTGACACCACAGCACGCAAACGCAGCCGGCGGAAGACCCGACGATGGAACCGCCGCATGTTTCCTCCGTGGAAGGTCGCCGGCGCCGTCCGCAACTCTCAGCCTTTTCCAGCATAAGCCTCGGGCGGGCGCCGTGTCTCCCGTATGGGCCTTCATGACATGGCAGCAAGGGGTGCGTTGGAAAGGCAAATCATGGCAGCCAGGGGTGCACCAAACAAGTGAGAAGTCAAAGTTTGTCTGAAAGATTCTTAAGAAATTTATGTGTGCTCTGTCGGATCATCCAGGGATCCACTAAGCATTGGTGCTCCCACTAGGTGGGAAGTTCCGCCTGGGAAAGGAGCCCTTCCAAAACCTCATGGCTTTTCTTCATCGTCTTCTGAATGCTGACTGCTGAACTCACGAATGTAAACACAAGGACCGGAGGAGACGAAGGACCGGGGGTACAGTCGCACAGTCGCCCGAGATCCCCAACCTCCGAACGGACCGAACAAAGTGAGACCCCCAGCGTCCTTGGGAAATGAGTTCGATCGACGATCGCTGCGGCTAGCAAAAGGAACCTTTCATTGGGATGGCCTCCAGCCTCCAACCTCGTTGTTTTTGTATCTCTTTGTCAGATGCACCCTCTCTTCCAGTCCAATTCGGCCCTCTCGTCTGGGCCATCCCTGCTTCTCCTTCTCGGTGGCGAAGCTCAAAAGTAGCTTCTCCTCGTGACCGGCAGGTCGAAAATGAAGAGTTCTCTGAACTCTTGCCTTGTCCGGGGGTAGAGGACGCTACGAACGGAGCACAGGGTATCGCTACGAACGGAACGATCGGACGCTACGTTCGGGGCTCCTGGCCTTACTACGGAACAAGGACGCTACGAACGGAGCTTTTTCGCGAAACCCGACCCGTTTCATCGTGGCGGGCGTGGCCCGGTCTGACCCGGTCTGGCGGTTCTCACCGATCCAAAAAGGATGGGCCAAGCCGCCGGTGTCCAACAAACAATGAAGTTCCAGCACGTCCCAAAGTGCAGAAAAGAAAAGAACAAAAGAGTGAAATGAACATCTCGTAATCAAGAACGCAAGAATATGTGTATATATGTGTATATATATATACATGTTTCATTTGTAAAATGTATATTCTTCTTCCACCTCCACCCGGCTTTCTGGAGTGTTAGCAATGATGAATGTCTAATTTACATACGCAGGCCTTCGACTGGGAAGCTATTTGTTCTGAAGAGCTTCCCATCTTCCTCGTAGTAACTGCATGATCATCGGATTGTTTTCGGCCAACCTTCGACCACTGTTTCCGGACGTGTTTTCAGTTCATGAAGCCCCTGATCTCTGGGGCCCTTCCAGTGGCCCTGACCACGCAAAACGCGCGACGCGCGAGGCATGGGGTCCTGGGTCACGCGCGCGACGCGTATGATGGAGGCGTCCTGACTCTGGCTGATGGCGTCGACGACACCCATCTTTGAGAGCACGAAGAGGATGCACAGGGAGATCCCCTCAGACTTCGCTTCAGTCGAGAAGAGCGGAGGCTTCAGGGTCCGAACAGGTGGGGATGTGGATGCCCAAAGGTCGAGACGCATTCATTCCGCAGGCTGACTTCCAGGACCTCCCATGCTTTCGGATCGCACCAAGTCGATCTAAAGTCTGTCCGCGTTCGATCCGCCATCCCGCCATCCCATCACCCCCCCTCTGAGCCACCAGGCTAAGACAATGAGTTGATAGCTGTTGCCTCGGTTTTGATGCTTTTCAGGAAACACTTTTGTAGGTCGATGGCCAGAATGGCCCGATGGCACATGGGAGGTACCGTGGTTTCGTTTCGGACGACCTGTGGAGAGTTGCTATAGACACAAGCGCATGTGTAGATCTCGGTGGTCGCCGTATCATTAAAAAATATAACTTATAGGTAAGTATATGAGTAAGTCAGGCATATCATATTGGCATACATTGCAACACTCCTTGCACCGTGATCCATTTTTTCGGACCTCAGATCACCAGATTCCCCTCACCATGCCCAGCATTGCCCAGCCTGCTCAAATCTTTTTCCGTAAATCGATGCCGGGCACGGCACGATGCACGATGCACACGGCCAAGAGGGGCAACTCGCTTTCGAAAACTGCGGGGCGACCGGTGGCGCATAAAGAGGGCGGCGCAAAAGGCTGGGCGCAAACTGCTGGGAACAGTGCGGGAAGAAAGCATGGGAAGCCAGACAGTTTTGCATGCTCAACAATGTATGCGTGTGAGTGTCTGGGAAGTGGCATAAAGTAGATTAACTTGATAGCTTGATTTGTAGGGTGTCATTGTTTCATCCTGCATTTCCAGCAAGTAAGCACCAGCTACGTAGTGGTGACTCTGGTATGACCAAATCTTCTTGAACCTCTAGAAGTACCCCAGCAGCTGCGCCGCTCGAAAATCCATACCTGGATGCCAGCCAAAAATCAAGCTTTGACATTTGAAGACGGCAAACCCAAGCAAAAAGTCACCATCCATTGGAGGCATCCAGGCTTTTGCTTTTGTGCGTTGGCATATCATCGAAGTTGGGACTTCAGCGTCGGCGCTTCCGCTCCTGGCGGCCAAGGAGAAGGTCAATGCAGCCGCTTTGGGGGGCTTCAAAGCGTTTGATGCGGTTCCGATTGCGAACTTGTGTAATGTGAGACAACATAAGAGTCAACTTATTTTGTCCGTCAAGATGGGCATGTTTTCTTGCTGTTGGTTCTTCCATGTTCTTCCAATATGTTAACCATATTAGATCCAAAGAACCCAACTCCGCAATTCAGCAAGCACACATCCTTCACACACACGAACTCAAGCTTTACTCCATGGTCCCAGACGTGCCATCACGCCATCCAGACGACGTGCAACTTGGCCACCAGCCTGGCCCGCGGAGCCCGCCTTGGCGGCTTGGGCCTTTTGCTTCAACGCCTCCAACTCGATCATCCAAAGCCTCGATGGCGGAGTGAAAGGATGTGATGTCGGTGGGCTGGTGCCCAGATCGGCAAAGGGCGGTCTGGGGTGGGAGTGCTCCGTCATCCACCAATCTCAATTCCCAAGTTCCGGCCGTTTTTTCTCATCCCAATGTCCCGCCCTGACTTGGTGGAGGTCACAAAGTAATCAGAAAAGCCCCCCCCTCGTGGAATCCATGGATTCCGAGGCCCCAAGACTGATGAATCTGCTTCGTTCATGAACAAATCCATCCCTCGTTCTGTTGCTCCAATGAGCACTCCACGCACACTCAGTGACTTGTGGCTGTCGGGATCCGTTTGGAAAAAGCACCGTCCCCCACCGGCCCGCCCTCCCACGCCAGGGGGTATTAAAACCAGGGCACTCCAGAATATCTGCAGATGGAGCTGCCTTGGACGTATCTGATGGGACGGTACGCAGCTGAACGAAGGCCGAAAGACGAATCACCGCCTTCTTCAAGGGGTCTCAATGGAGTCCCGGCGCGAGTCGAGGTGATATTCTGGTGCCACAAGCCATCAAATGAAGAACATTTACTGGCCGGTCATGGTATTTGTCTCAAAACTCGACCTCCTTGTGCCAAGTGCCCACCCTCTTCCCCGCTCCGAGCGGCAAATTCCGTGGCCGGCTGCGGTCGGTCCACGTCGGGCGGGGGCTCGATGATGAAGCGATGCTTCTTGCCTCGGGCGATTTTCGGCCACCAGGAGTTCAGAGAAGTCTCCCTGCTCCAAAATCCATGTATTATGGAGTAGTTAGTGACCCTAGGGCTGGGTCACATGTATGGAGTAGTGGGTGAATGTAAACGTAGACCAGCGTAGTCCATCGTACATGGATGGGGTGGGCTGGGAACCACCTTCGAAAATATGCGCAGTGATTTCCCTTGCGCACCCTGTAGGAGTGATAGAAACCAACACGTGCGGGGAAAAAATTGTAAAAGGATGGTTCTGGGGAATTTTTGTTCATCAACCACCTCGTTTAACGTGTTTGGTTCTTAAGGTTTTTTTGTTGAGCCTTGTCGTTATTATCTATGGGATTTCTGGAGAAAATTTGGTGCTAAAAATCACTATCTTTGCTATAATTCAACGCGGTGGCTGATTGTTGTTGCTGTTCTGCTTTGTTTCGAGGGTTGGGGTTTATGGGTTGTAATTATAGTGTAGTTATAGGTTACATTTTTAATGGGTTATAGTTATGTTGTAGTTTTAGGCACACCATTGACCTATTCCATCCCACCAATGTTCTATGGCACGCATTTGTGTTGTGATAAGTGGATCTGCATTGTCTAGTTCAACATCTGCAGTGTCTAGTTCAACCATCGCAAATGACAGTAAAGTTAAATCTATATTCATCGCGTTTAATTCTCCATACTCTGAAGTTTCCCGTGTCTCGATACTTGGTTCTGGGTATCATTGATACTTGGATCCTGGTATCGGGGTATCATTGATACTTGGTTCTGGGTATCATTGATACTTGGATACTGGTATCAGGGTATCACTGATACTTACTTGGTTCTGGGTATCATTGATACTCGGATACTGGTAGCGGGGTATCATTGATACTTGGTTCTGGGTGTCGTTGATACTTGGATGTTTGTTTCATTGATACTAGGTTGTGGGTATCTTTGATACTTGGATACTGGTATCTGGGTATAATTGATACTAGGCTCTTGGTATCGTTGATACTTGGATACTGGTATCTGGGTATAGTTGATACTAAGCTCTGGGTATCGTTGGTACTTGGACATTGGTATCTGGGTATCATTGATACTAGGTTGTGGGTATCGTTGATAGTTAGATACTGGTATCTGGGTATCATTGATATTAGGGTTGGGTATCTGTGGGTATGCACGCAATGTGTGAAAACTACTCTTGGATGACTCACCCACACAACATCTCAAGCGCCACAGTTCTTTTCACTGGCGAAGCTCACATGTATCCTGCAACCCTCAACTTCTGCTCATCCTCTTGAAAGAGTTTGGCGACGAAATGCCAATGCTTCAAAGCCACACTATCACTGGTGGCTCTCCTCAGGACGCAGTCTGCTGGCTCCTCGCGAAGAAGCTTCAACTTCATTTCGGTCTCGTCGCTCTGCGGGAGATACCCCATGGGTCCTGCCTCTGCCACCTTGAGGAGACAGTCCTTCGGAGATAGTCCTTCGCTCCCTGGTCGTCCAATTTCTTTTGATTTGGTTGCACTCTCTCCTTGTACCACTGCTCAACCCGCTTGATGACCGCATCCGCACCTTTCTGACCTGCTCTGGAGACGTTTCGTAGTATCTCGCTCAAGGCGCGGAAGTTGCCCCCCTGTGCGGATGTAGCAGTGCTTCAACACCTCCTCTATCTCATCGTCGGCAAGAACCTTGTTCAGCGTCCGGAAGTCGTTTCCGTGCTTTGCCACCTAGTCGACCAAAGGCACGAAGTCTTCGAAAGGCAGCGGTCGCACCACCACCAAATCTGACATGTCAAGCCTTTCTGTGATGATGTCGGCCACGGCAGACACGCTGACCTCCAACATGAACTTGCACGCGGCATTGTCGTAGGTGATGTTGCGGGCGAAGGCACCGAGGGTGGCACAGGCATCCCTACTAAATTTGTCTCCGCGGCTCTTGGTTGTGAATTGCAGGTACACCACGACAGCACTGCCTGTTCGGCGCTTGGACGTCTCACTCACCTTTTCCAGCATATACGCCACTTGTTCTACTTGCAATGCTTTGGGCAGCGCTTCATTGAGTTTCAAGTCCTCACCTGGACGGCTTGACATCTTGAGCAGCAGCACCCTATTGCCATTCTTCACATGCTCACACATGAGATTGCTCAGCATGGTTGATTTCCCAATGCCTTGGGAACCACTGACCACCAAGAAGGAAGGGGTGCTCAAAGCTTCACGTTGAGGTAAATTGATGAAGTCCTTATTCCTCCTCGAGAGGCCGTGCAGGGGCGGGCTCTTTCCTTTTCAGCCTTTGCCCGGCCTTCCTCACTGCCCTGTTCATGAAGAAGCCAGGAAGGCACCTTTGAATGAGAGCTTGCAGAACCAGCACTACGACGCTCCCTGTGCTCAACAAAGTCCAACCAGTTTTAACGGTCTGCGCCGGAAAAGCCCTTGCAGGCTGTGTTCGTGCATGACCGCTTGGAAGGACGAACCGGCCTGGCGCAAGCTGAACCTGCCTCACAAAGATGCATTTGCGGACAATACATCGCGGCGACACCGATTCATGACTGGACTCAGTTACACTATCAATTGTGTGGGGGCCCGTAGTTACTGCTTTTAGACTGCTTTAGTAGGAGGTCATGTCACAGTATCTCGTTCAGACTACTCCAGTAGCAGATCACATTGACATGAAATTGCGGTCATCAAACTCACGTATGTGGGGGCCCAATCTCATTCACCAGCAAATACTGAAGTTGGACAAACAAATAGAGCCTGCCGTAGACCAATTACTTCAAATGGATGTGTTTGCTTCTGTAGTTATGACATGCTATGACCTTGAGGTGTGGGTGCATGCACTCATGTATTGTAAAGCATCTTAACTCACCCCATGTTCGGACCAGAGTGTCCGGCATGACATCGACTTGGACCGATGTGCGAGAGGTAGTAAAGCATCTTAACTCACCATTCCTTTGAGCTCTTGA